GATAGACAAAGCGTTGGGATTTCATGAGTGAAGAATAAATGGAAACTTTCTCACCTGATTCTCTTCCCTGCTTTCATTCTCCCATCCCATTTGAGCATTATAACCAGCTCTCTTGAGCTCAGAATAACACTGATAATAAGAGAAGGCACCACCAGGGCAGAAAGTCCTCTTTCTTAGACACTGACGCATCTTGCAGGGTGGATGGAACTATTAACATCATAGCTACCTGGTGTTCTTAGAACAAAAGTTGGAAGGGCTGCTCTAGAGAACTCCTCCATGCGGTTCACTGGTAGCTCACAGGCCAGATCTTGACCCGACCTGACAATGAACCCACTGTGTTTATTTTCCCTGGGGTCAATCCTCTGCCATCTCTTAAGGATAATACAAGGGAGTTTGGCCTCAAGATTTCTGTTCCCCGGGGGGTGGGGAGGTGGGGGGTGGGGTGGAGGGGATCAGCTGTTTTTATCAGTTGGGGCCTCGGCCCCAGGGGACCAGGCTGACGTGGCACTGGTCGCAAAGGTAGTAGGCTGTGTCCCAAGAGCTCCTCAGGCTCATGGTCTGCCCAGACCCACCCCCGCAGTCTGTTTCCTGGCTGTGGAGTGGATATGGGGGCGTGAGAGGGGCCAGCCCACCCCCTGGGCGCCCCCAGAGATCTGGGACCACTTCAGGGGCTGTGTTCCTGCCCAGTCCCTGGAGCCAGAGAGCAGCAGGTCTGGGCAGGAACGCCCCATCCTTGGAAGAGACCCAGGGCCATCCAGTCCAGTCTGAGTCCCTGACCCTACAGGGCAGGGCAGAACCGCCCCTCCCCAGGAGGGGCTGGGGGTTTCCAACTGCTGGCCTCCGGGTGAGCAGTGCATCTCCGGCGCACAGACCCACATGGCCTTCGGTTCTCCCCTTGCTTATCCACACTGGGCCTCCTTTTCCTGAAGGCCTGACTGACTCCCCCACGCCCCGCTCCCCCAGGGCAGGCAGGCTGGGTGGCTGTGAGGGACACAGGGTGGGAGAGCACACCCCGCTCCAGACAGTCGGACTCCTCACCCTTCTCAGTTCCATCTGTGAAATGGGTCGGAGATCTCTTGGGGAGGGGGGAGGGAGTGACTCGGGGCTTGGGGGTGGGCGAGGGCCTCAGAAGCACAGTGGCCCATCCTGCAGGGGTGTACCTATGCGCACCCCTCCACCCCCAGCCCGTTCCAGGCCAGCAGCCCGTGACCTGTCAGTTTTAACAAAACAAGAGTGCTGCCCCTGCTTACTCAGCCGGGGAGACGAAAATAAGCCAGGGCTTAAAAATACCGGCACGGTCCTTCCGGCCGGGCCCTACAGCCCGAAGGCTGCTTCTCATAGCAAGGGGGTTGGAGGGACTATGGTGTTTCGGTTTGGGACTTTTGTTTTTGACAGCGCTCTGTGGGCCTTGCACCCACCAGAGGAGGGCAAACTCAGACCGAAAGCACCCCCCCCCCCCCAGTAACACCAACGGTGCTGAAAGTGGGGGTAAAATTCGGGGAACTGGCCAGAACAGGAAAAGCAAAACTCCTCAACAGTGCGAGGAAACACTGACCGTCACCCAGCCCCCCTCCCCCAGGGAACCCCACTGCACAGATGGGCAAACTGAGACCTCTGAGCTTTCTGAGTCCCGGAGAAAGGGGGCACTGAGGACCATGGCAAGCCAGGCTGCCCAGACCTGGTGGGCTGGGGGAGGAGGGACGCAGGCAGACCACACCCCAGCAAGGAAGCATGCCAGGCACTGCTCCCCAGGCCTTGCCACAAGCCTGGTGCCCGCTCAGAGCTCCTGGCAAGCCGGCTTCACACCCTGTCACTGCGGTGACCAATCTGTGCCTGCCCAGCCTCGAAGGGGAACCCCAAGTGGACTGGACCACCTGCCTGCCTCCCGGACTGAGGGTCCTCGGCCAAGATGGAGCACACGACCCCGACTGTTCATCCCACAGATGAAAAGGTCAAGGCCAAGCTGTGGCCTCAGAGCCCAGCACACCCCACAGAGGAACCGGAAGCCAGGGCAACCCCTCCCTCTGGAGGCCTCAGTTTCCTCGTATCTCAAAGGACCCCATAGCCCAAGTCCTCCAGGTCCATACCCGTACCATGGGGTTTGAGGATGCTTGGTCCGGGCCCCCCTTACCATACTGAAGTCCAAGAGGTCACTGAGCTCCTTGTCTGTGCCCACGGGCGCCATCCTGGGCGGCTGGTTCATTCTCCAAGGGCAGGGTGGCAGCCAGGGCAGGTACCACAGGACTAGACGGAGCCCTGGGCAGGAGGCAGGGGCAGACAGACAGACTGTCAGTCCCTGGGGCAGGGGACAGGGGGGAAGAGGGGAGGCAGGGACATAGGGAGTGTGAGCGTCCCTTTAGCTGCCTGTGAGACTGAACTCAGCAATGGCCCTGATGGAGGGGGTCTCCCTCCTCCTCCCAAACTATGCGGTGGCAGGCAAGGAAGTCAGGACTGGCGTGGCAGGGGAGACTGTAAAGACCCCTCCCCTGAGCCAGCGGAGGGTGAACAATGGGGGTGGGGGGTGAATACAAACTCCCAGAGTGACCACCAGGGAGTCACGTTGCAAACTTAACTGGGGACGCGCGCGAGCGGCCCTTGTGCCCAGCGGCCAGAACCGCCCCTCTCCTTCCTCACCACGTCTCGGTTTCCAACCACCCCCGCCTCCCCCAGGCCCCGCCTCCTGGGGAAATTTGGTGACCCCCCCTCCCCTCCCAGCAGCTGTCACAGCTGGAGGCCCAGTCACCCCCAAATCCAAAGTGAAAAAAAGTTAAGACATAAAGCCAAGCCCCTACCCCATTTCCAAAATTAATGGGGGGGGTGCCCCGCAAGGGCGGTTCTAAAAGGGGCAGACCCCAAAGTTTTCCCCACCCTTCCC